GCTATGAGAGTGATTGTAGCAGCAAGGAAAAGAATGAAAATCCTGTTAGGCCCGGACGAGTTGATGATACTTAGAAAATAGCAGAATGAAAATTGCTGCCAACAACTAACCGTCACCATGGCGTTCTATTATGACATGGAACCGCACTGAATACTAATAATCGGACCTCTTCCATTACCCATTGACATCTTCAAATTACCCGAAATGGGTAATTTCACCCAATAGGAGAACGTATGAGTGGGATATTCTTCAAACGTTCTGTTGAAAAGTGGTGTCTTCTGGCTCCTGGCAGCCCATTTAGAACGAAAGAATGATCCCAACCGTTAACATTGAACTTATTTAACAACTACATGCTCGTCTCACTTTGGGTGTCTCGTAAATTGGAACGCAAAAGGTAACATTATCCACAGTCAATAAATGATGCGATAAGAAATAAGTAAGCTGTTCGCAGAATTTAATTCTGAGGTAGCAAGCAGAATGAGACACTGAATTTCGAATGCTTTCAGCAGCGAGTATGCTCGCATAATGACTGAACATCAACAACAAATGCGTAAACTATGTTGCTATCGTCAACGGTCAATGGCAGCTGCAGGACAGCAGGTAACATTCGTGATTCAAAAAATTGGCACTTATGTAACCATCTTTTCACATCCCGTAGAGTTTGCTTCATTATGCGTAGAACTGTTTGTTGGTACAGATATTCAAGAAGGAAAATTTGATGAATTATGTGGTAAAAGTTCAGTTTCGATTGGAAAATTTAAATGATTTTTGGACGATTCAATTAACGATTTAATGATTTGGAATAGCGATTTCCTTTTTGATAAATTCAAATGAATTCATGAATACTGAGTTCGTTGAGGATATCTCCAGATTTATCGCGCTGTGGTAAGTGTATACAGAAGCAACAACTAGCAAATGAGGAACAAACATATTTTGATGACATGCATTCGTTTAATAAAAACCGAATGTATTTTATAAGCAAATAATTGTCGAATGCACGGTTCATCTTTTAAAAGCAATGAAGCATTCACGTCTTATGATACGTTTGCGGCTGAAAGTGGTGTTCGAAATTTGAGTTTAATATTGTGATTATGATGCATATAATCACATCGAATCGTTTTAAGGCAGCTGCTTGTGCACATCCTTGTGTTGGTCTGTACGGAGGTGCTTCACCAGCATCAGTGGGGTATCAAGCAACACCGGCAGTATCATCATCCGTATACGCTGTTAACAGCCGCCAGCAACCGCAACAAAGCCAGGTTATCGCAGGACAGGTCCGTCAACCGTTACTATCAACAGCCGTACACACTGTTGGAAGCCATCAACAAATTCAGCCAAGTCAGATTGTTGTGGAACAAGTCCATCCACAAATTCAGCCAAGTCAGGTTGTTGTAGAACAAGTCCGTCAACCGGCAGTATCAGGAGCCGTATTCACTGCTGAAAGCTATCAACAAATTCAGCCAAGTCAGGTTGTTGCAGAACAAATCCACCAACAAATTCAGCCAGGTCAGGTTATTGTAGAAGAAGTCCGTCAACCGATAGTATCACCAGCCGTGTACACTACTGAAAGTCATCAACAAATTCAGCCAAGTCAGGTTGTTGTGGAACAAATCCATCCAACAATTCAGCCAAGTCAAGTTGTTGTAGAACAAGTCCGTCAACCAGCAGTATCAGGAGCCGTATTCACTGCTGAAAGCTATCAACAAATTCAGCCAGGTCAGGTTGTTGTAGAAGAAGTCCGTCAACCGATAGTATCACCAGCCGTGTACACTACTGAAAGTCATCAACAAATTCAGCCAAGTCAGGTTGTTGTAGAACAAGTCCGTCAACCGGCAGTATCAGGAGCCGTATTCACTGCTGCAAGCCATCAACACATTCAGCCAAGTCAGGTTGTTGTAGAACAAGTCCGTCAACAAATTCAGCCAAGTCAGGTTATTGTAGAAGAAGTCCGTCAACCGATAGTATCACCAGCCGTGTACACTACTGAAAGTCATCAACAAATTCAGCCAAGTCAGGTTGTTGTGGAACAAATCCATCAACAAATTCAGCCAAGTCAGGTTGTTGTGGAACAAATCCATCCGCAAATTCAGCCAAGTCAGGTTTGAAGTGGTTTCAAGAAAATTCTCAAGAGTTTTCAGACATTTATGCTTGGTTGAGATCTGACATGTGCATTTACTGTTGTTTCATTCAGCTCTCTACTTGACTGCCAATAAAGGATTTTGCTTATAACTCGTCTTCCAGTTTTGAATTCAACCGAAATAAACAGTCGTTTGTGGTATTTTGTTACCGACGGTCCGCCTGAACGAGTGGATAACACGGATGATAGGAACAGCGGGGAGAAGACATCTGAGTTCGATTATTCACCTTTTGTATGCTACAACACGTATTACTACTTTTGCTCCAAAACTTATTACCTTCAACTTGAACCATGATCGCATCTGCAGGAAAGTGACAGTATTAATAATCATATTATCAATGATTTAGTGCGGTAGATGTTCCGAGGAGAGGGCGTCTCAAAACAGCCTCGCCCAAAAAGCCAAATTTTGGAGCGGATTTTTTAAGGTCTCGTTTTTCTCCTTTCTTCCTTTCCTCCGCCCTTTTCCAGTTCGTTTTCTCATTTTATTCTCCCGTCTGCTCTCTTTTCCGTTCTCTTTTGATCTTCNTTTTTTTTCTTTTCCTCCACCTTTGTGCCCCTCCCTCTATGGGTACGCTACTGATTCAGTTAGTGTTGTGCGGGGAGTGCCCGAATTCGGGGTCCCCGTCCCCGACCATTTTCCAGCGGCGGCCATTTTCGGGGACTGTCCCCGTCCTCGATCTCCCCGTCCCCATCCCCGACCCATTTTGCTCTCCCCGCACAACGCTAGATTCAGTATTTTGGGGTTCCGTCAATGAGATTACGCATGACATAGATGAATGTACAAAGAAATGTAATCTCAGTCTTTGTAAAGTTTTCATTTAAACACCTCATTCGTAAATTATCAGTTCACGTGCAAGTCAGAATATCATACAGCAGAAAGTAGTATTGTGCGGGGAGAGCAAAATAAGTCGGGGACAGGGACGGGAACGGGAAGATCGGGGACGGGTAGAGTCCCCGAAAATGGTCGCCGCTCGAAAATGGTCGGGGACGGGGACGAGGACTTTCGGGGAGAAAACTCAATCTTGTCCTCGTCCCCGACTCCCCGGAACTCCCCGAAAATGTAATTTTGGAACTAGAGTCATCAGGACCTTGAAAACATGATTTTTTGATGGAAAAGCATTGAAATAAGTGATCTTCAAGCTAGAAAAACGATAACTGCAAAGGCGCAATGCAATTCTATTCACAGTATTTTATTCAATCACATAAGGAAATAGAGTTTTTGAAAATAGCAAAATTTTTTTAATTAGCAAAACTAGCAAAAACATAGCATAGAAAACAGAGTTTTTAGAGTTTAACAAAAAAA